TATATATATATATATATATATATATATATATTTATTTATTTATTTATTTATTTATTCATTTATAGATTTTCAGGAAGTATTTTCAGGTAATCAAATAACACGTATTTAGTGAAGTATATAAATTCCTCCCTGTATTGATTACTAAATCATCTTAAAGATTTGACATCTGATTGACAGCTGACATTTGATTGGTTATATTCTTCCACAGCCTGAACTTTCAGAAACATGAATGTGAGTCTGACTGTAACTGGAAAGTTTCGGTCATCAGCTCAAACTTTGTCCGCAGTTTCCCCTCGTTGTAAAGCCAAGCCACACTCCTCTATTCTGCTGCTCTCACACCGCCAGAGACGAGCAGAAAATAGATGAGCGGATCTTTTTTTTACAGCCTGTTTGCAGCAGAATTCTGAAATAGCTCTTGTTCTTTGTAGTTGGCAGACCAGACTGGCTTTGAAATTAAAAAAGCTGTCTGGCCGCTCGCTGCTGGAAAGAAACAAAGAAAGAAAGAAAGAAAGAAAGAAAGAAAGAAAGAAAGAAAGAAAGAAAGGAAGGAAGGAAGGAAGGAAGGAAGGAAGGAAGGAAGGAAGGAAGGAAGGAAGGAAAGAAAGAAAGAACTGGAGTTGAAGTGCTGAATCAGTGTGGGATGCTTGTGTTTTTGTGCTATTTATATCAGAATAGATGTCAGTACTCTAAATATACTCGCTAGCTAACACACTGTAATGATTTCATTTAAAGCATTTCTGTTAACAAACTCGTGAAAATGATCCAAATTTGAGCAAATACGATCAGGCTGAGCAATAAGTTCATTTCTGGCATTTTTATTCTTACAAGGACATTGGTGCATATGGAAGCTTTTTTCTGCCAAAAAGGTAATTGGGTAACTTTATATCTCGCAATCGACTATTTTCTCGCAATTCTAACTTTATATCTCGCAAATCTGGCTTTTTTCTTGCAATTCTGACTTTTTATCTTCCAATTCTGACTTTTTTCTCAGAACTGTGAGATATAAACTCACATTTACGAGAAAAAAGTCAGAATTGCGAGACACAAATTCAGAATTGCAAGAAAAAAGCCAGATTTGCGAGATATAAAGTTAGAATTGTGAGATATAAACAGATTTGCGAGAAAAACGTTGTGAAATGTAAACTCATCATTCTGACCTTTATCTGTGAATTGGGAAAGTGCCCAAGCAACATTGCTCCGTGTATCATCACCTTGAGTTTATATCTCGCAATTCTGATTTTTTTTCTTACAATTCTGAATTTTTCTTGCAATTCAGGGTCAGAATAATGAGGTATAAAACAGAATTGCGAAAAAAATAAAAAAAAGTCAGACTTGTGAGGTAAAACATATCTGTCTTCAAACTTCAGGCTTTTGAATCTGCTTCACACATTCTGGCTAGGCTTTCTCAGGCCAGCATCAAAGAGTGTCTACAAGCTGTACTGTCTAGTTTCATATTACGCCATGTTTCTTTATCATTCTCATCTGTAAATAATTTTAAAATATCTACAGCATTGCAAACGGTACATCAGGATCCACCACTGACAATCTCCACCATCGCACCAGCTCGAAATGTTATGAAATAACCACGCTTCTACATCTGACGTGCGATCAGCACAGCTGAGCACTTACATAACAGCGGCAGGAGTTTGTAAAATATATGCACAAAAATTAGAGAAAAGACGTTGCAAGATTAAACAACAGCTTCAAACAAAGGCGTGCTTCCTCTTCAAACACACACAGAGACGCACAAATGCGCAACGGCGTCCTCTGAGATGCGCCATTTACATGTAACGAGCCACTCGTGAGAAACAAAAGGCCTTAATTAAGCGCCACTAATTATCTCTTTGTGTGTGTGTGTGTCTGTGTGTGAGTGTGTGTGTGAGTGTGAGTGTGTGTGTGTGTGTCT